ATTGTCAACATTATTTAAATTCAAGCAAGCTTGTTATTATTAAAGGAAAAATAGTCGCAGTGATTTATAGATGTGTTAAAAGAGGTGCCAAAAATGGCACTTTTTGTTTTATTCTAATTTTTTCAAGAAAAGTAACTTAATTTATTTATCACTTGTTGTTATATATCAATTATTTTCAGTTGTATCATTTCCTTGGGTTTTCAGATGCAGCAATAGCTAAATATTAAGCTTTGCTATTGGAATGTTATAAATTGTATACTGGCACACATCCAGTTATCATAGGAGGCTCAAGAATTGTCGTCAAAGTGGATAAAAATGTTCTTTCATGACGTGGAACCATTCGAAATTCCACGAGAGCTGATGATACTAGAGATATTGCTTGGATTATTGGTGGAATTGATTGAACAAACGAAAAAAAAATTCTTGTTCGTGTTGTTAATTGTACAGTTCGTTCTTTACAAGAAACAATAGGTCCTTTTATTGGATTAGGTCGGTTATACACCCCGGTTTTAGATCAAGTAGGTTATACACCCCGTAAAAAAAAAGATTAACACTTAAATAATTTAATGTAAGACATAAATTTATCTGACAAAAGACGTTCTTTAAACATGAATTCTAGCAAAAAAATTTCTCTGCTCCAACGCGAGACCCTTCATCGCATTAATATCTAACTTTAATCGATTGTTATATGATTCTAGATGTTTTGTATGAGTTCCATCTGCCAGATTAATAAAATTATATTTATGGCAAACAGTTCTATGCTCAAAATTTTGATTCCTACCCAATGATGCATAAGCAGCTCATTCATCTGAGCAAATAATACTACCTGGTACTACTACATTAGAAATTATATTAATTAAAGTATTGGAGGAACGATCAGAAACAATGCAGCAAAATCTCAACGCCGGGCGATTTGACGTATCAACAATGCAGAATACCCAATAGGGCGGAACAACCTGCCTGTGTGATTTTTTACATTATGATTAATTTTTGTTTCATCTACTCGTACTACGACACCAGGGCCTCCTAACTTAATAGGATTATCTAAAAAATGTTGCTCTATTTTGCTATAAATCAATTTTCGGATATTTATTAAGGTGTCTTTTGATATATTAGTTAAAAGCAATATTTTACAGTTTTGTAATCCAATAGATAGATAATAAATTACAACCAAAATGACACGCAATTTGGTTTTAAAATTTGCTAGACACGTATTATATTCTAAACTGAGTGTAGTCTGATACTTAAGACATCTCAATTCAAATTTATCAACTTTTTTTTGATCTTTTTATTTCATAAATTTCTCACAATGAAGGCAAGACTGCTTATATGTAAAACTCTGACCAAGGCCATAGAAATAAGCTCGAAATTATCAGCAATAAAATCCTATTTAGATGCTTTTTTTCTTCTGCCATTAAGGGTTAAAAAATAAAAAAAAAATATCAGGTCGGTTATACACCCCACCGGGATGTATAACCGACCTGTTCCCTTTTATTAAGCACGGAAGCGTGTTAAACACCGATGGCCATGCTTCTTATCCCGCTGTTTCAAAAGGCCAAATCTAAGTCATCATATCGTTAATCATTCGTTTGGATTTAAATCACAAGGCAAAATTCATATTAAAACGTAGAGCTTTTGAGGGTCATATGAAAAGCACAATGCAGAAGAAAAATGGCG